GGTAGATTCGCAATTTCCTACTTGACAGATACGCGTGTTGGAACTCCAGTTTTGATATCGCCCAACAGTTTGGAGCCATGTGGCACTTCACCGTCGACGGTCATTGTCAATGGCGCGAAAGATCATGATGAGGTTTTCGTCAAGCGGTGCTTGATGGATTGATGAAGAGACTTGTTTCTCAGTTTCTAGGTAGACGGGGTAAACCAATCCTTCACACTTCAGCTCAAGTCCGTCATTGGTATAGGTTTTATTTCCCCCTAAAACCCGGTACTCATCACGGCCAACTGCCACCATCGCAAACACTGTCACCACGGGCACGAACTCGAGTTACCTTTCATGGATTAATTAACGAACAACTGTGCGCAATTTGCAGCAGCATCAACCTTGTCATTCATTGTTGTCAATTTTCATTAAAATCAAGATTAATTGTCGCTGTTTAACGCCTTTGTCGAGCAGATAATCAGGCTTTCGCGACGATTCATTAAAATTCATTGGATTTTGGTTCCTTTGACTATTTTACTCCAGTGCCAGTCGGCGCTGAAGTCCATACTTTGTCAAGAACAGTTATAGAAATTGGGTTGCCGAGTCAAGCCTACTATTGTGTAATCGTTTACTCACCACACCTCTAAGCATGGCCTCCTTTCTTGCTCTGGGCACCTAACAATACAAGCTGACACGAGTGACAACCTCTATTTCATTTTATAAGTTAATTAACATGTAAATGAGTGTTGACAGATACTAAACCGTGACGTGAGCACGTGGCTGCAATAGCGTATGCCATGTTTCGAGACACCAAACTGCAGAGACTTGAGTTGTGTTGTTTTGTTCTACTTTATCTTCGGTTAATGCCATTTAGAAACATTTCTGTTTCAGGGTACAGGTATTTATGAGATCCTTTAGCCTTGGCGTTTGGCCTGACAACTGTAAGCTAGCGAAATTTTCCCGACAGGACAAAACGGAATGATGGTCTTTTGTGTTCCACAAGATGTATTTCAGAAATGGACCTCAGACATTTCACCACTTGCTAAGAAACTGGCATTTAGATCCATTCTTCCAACAAAAAGAAGAGTTTATTTAATGCAGACTGGACTGTGTTTGAACTGTGTTTAAATTTATTCCGTCGAACGAGATGCGTACCTGTATGTATAAACTTATTTTGGTTGGTGAAGTCACGGTGACCATTTCGTGCCTTGCTGCTTTTTGTTTTTATTTTAGCTAGCAGTTGCTTTACATTACGTGTTTACTGGAAAAAAATTAGTTTAAGGAGACTTTAAAAACGCATTTCTAAATCCTTGTAAAACGTGCGGGACATCTTTGTCTTGAAAAATAATTTGGCCGTTTATAAGCTAATAATTATAGCACATGATTTGTGAGCCCCGGGGTGGTAGTATGAGACGGGTAGAAATGGAATAGCGCCCTCTGCTGTCAGCAAAATCACCCCGCTATTTCCGTAGACTACATGGTGAATTTCTCAACTCAATATTTCTTTCTCTTGGGAAACAGATTGCAAACAGCATGGGAAAATACTGATATGTTTTAAAAAAAAAGAAAGAAAAACACCTGTAAGATAACTTTATGGTGGCTACTTGTGTGAACATGCATGAAGTTTATTGTTCATAGGAGCAGTATTCTTTTGATGTCATGATATAAAACAGAATGTTTTAAATTGTATTTATTGAACATATTTCTAACAATTTAAATTAAGGGTATGGACAAAAATGAAACAATGATGCACAGAGTACCTACAATCACAATATTGATCATCGGTGGCATTCTATGGACGCGTAGTCGCTCAGCCTCCAAGATGCAAACCTCAGACGTTAAAAGTACCAGACTTGCACAAGTTAATTGGTTTATTTTTTGGGACGGTCTTTATTCTCGGCCTGCCAGCCATAATCCCCTTCCCCGTCTTCTAGACCACAACAAAGACCGCCCTGTTACCGGCAATTATCACATCAATAATTTATCTGGTCGAGCCAAAGGAGAGGACATGGGGGCAGGAAGAAATTAAACGGTTATGGAAAGATCATGAATGATTCAATGCTTCGGGCACGGACGGCGTAACAACCAGCTTGGTATGAATGAGAGACGTCTGCCTTCTTCTTGGAGTTGTCTCCCCATTCGAGTATTATTCCTCATTAAACTATGATCACGCTATATAATGAACTCTGGGGACCACGAATTTATCAGAAAGGTAACAAAAGATACACCACTGGATTAGTTAAACGACAATTAAAGGGACTGACCCATCTCACTTTGTCCTAAAGATGGCAGCTTCGTTATTATTTATAATTTCCGGTAGGGACCTGTACCAGTAATCCTGGCGAGAAACAATATCGTGCTTTGTCCATTTCACGGGTGATCTTTCAGGACCATTTCCACATCGATCATCAAACATGGCGGGACTGCGCGTTCATCTGATTGAAACAGCAAAATAAATGAGCCAAAACGGTGCACCAAATTGTCCACAGTGACAGATGAAAATTGCACCACAAACTTCATGCATTGTTGGTGCCGGATGAAGCCTACCCGTTCTCGACCATGTCAAGGCTGTACATTGCGGTCTGTGTGTTTGAAGTTCTGATGAAGAAGCACCACTTCCTGACGATAACGTGCACAACAATCCAATCGATCGTCAAACAGAAAACACTTTCAAAAGCTCTTACTTTCCATTTTAATTAAATAATATCTAATTTCATAAGCATTGTTGTTCAGTGCCACGTTAGGCTTATCTGATGGAGACAAACCGTAGCCTAATCGATGCACAGTCTGTTGAGTCCAGGGCATCCGTTTTTCAGCTGCTGTTCTCTTAATTAATACATAAAAACGTAAGTCCATGATGATTACACAGATACCACTCAAAGCAATATTATACAAGCAATAAAGGGTGTGTTCATTTGGAGAACTTTTCATAGCATTCTTTGTTTAAATAAAGGCTTAAAAAAGAAAGAAAAAGAAATTGCACCAAAAGGTGGTGAAACCATCGGTTTTATTCTTTTGGGCAAAGCAGTCCTGATATTGAATTGTTTGCTTCGGCAGTTGTGGACGAATGATGTGTTTGACGCCTGGTTGGTATGTATCTTATTTTTTTATGTGTCGATAGCACCAAAAGGAAGGGGGGGTAAATTTAAAAAAAAATAATAAAATTTAAAATCCTGCGGTCTCCTGAAGACGGACAGAGTACACTGTTCGAAACGTCGAGTTATTCCCCGGTTCTTCTCAGAACCACACATACTCAAAGAAGAGATAAATACATGGTCACGGTGTTACCGCAATCTTTACTATAAATCTAAACTTTATTTGTTTAATTTATAATTAGTTTTCGTTTTGCTAAAATTGTATACCTCGCTGAGTGGGTATAAGAGACCAGTAACCAAGTCACATTCTATAACTGCAACAAGAATCAAAACTCAATAAAACATGAATATTCATGATACGTCATTGCTGATAACTAGGCAATGTTTACCATGATTCGATTTTGTGTCGTACAGACTACAGTGGAGTAGGCTGTTGTGTTTCGTGCCCGAATGAACTAAACGCCCAGAGGTACAGAGGTAAAGGTTTTTGGAATAAGGAAATGTACTAATTTGGGTTGTAGACCACGAACCTTTCACATTGGCAGGTAAATTCCTTGATACAAACCCAGTTATAAAACGTGACGATCAAACTGGAAGGGGGATGAGTGAGCAAGAAGGAAATCTCAAATAAATGGTGTATTTATTTTGCTATTTTGGTAACTTCTTTGACCAACCGCTTTGTGATAACAACCCCACCGGGTTGTCCCCTACGCAAAGTATAAAGGAGATCCGAAGTATGTGACAGAAGTCTTTACTATCAGTAAAACACCCAGGTCAGTGCCCCGTCGGTGTTCTTAAACGCCAATGCTGTGTAAACAAACAAGATTAAAGCCACAATCCTAATTTTTGCAGAGGAGAATATAAAAGCAGAAGGAAAAACGCCGAAAGATTTCAGCATTGTATTCAGGAATTCTAAACCTCCAAGAACAGCACTTTTTCGGAGGTTGGCATGTTGTTTGTTTTCGGAGCCTCTTTTAGATGGGTCCTAGGTGCGCAATTAGAGATGGGGGATGGTGAGTAACGATGACATCAAAGGGGCCGCAAACTTAGCCAGTATGGACCAATCAGCGTCAAAGAACTTGTGGGTGACAGAGCGTGTGATGCGATAGTGGGTTTATACGGACGACGGCTGATATATGATTTGTTTACGATCAGAGGTTAATGCTAAAAGAACCTGTCCAGATTTGGCGTCCTGGTGGAGGATTTTAATTGTGGAAAGCCGCTTTGAAGGCATTATAGAGATGATACTTTTCTAGTGTCTTGGATGACTTTCTTTGTTATTTTAGTTACAATGGGTTACAATGAATGCAGAAAGGGTTTACTCGAGCCTATCCGTACAAAGCCCTTCAATTTGCCCTTCAAATCTGCCTTAAAAATGGGCTGGAAAACAGAGTAACTTTACAATATTGTGTTTAAAGATTTCCTATTGAATAGTTTATTTGCCTAACCGGTGCCCACCAAACTTCCGGAAGGGTCAGCACAGGATTTCTAGTGGCTCTTTGGCCGCCGGGGGATGTCGGAGTGTTTGATCACATAGCTTCTCCCTCTCATACCTAGCGAACACACAGGTCTCCAGTCGGGGGTACCCCCCGACGCACGGTACAATTCGATTATTAGCATACACGATACAATGAATAATATATGCACATGTACCTGTAGAAATTAAGAGAAAAAAAACAAGGTGTCGCGTACTGTAAAAAGATTTCCAATCTCATCGAAATCGTCTCCTTGGTGTTGGTAAGTAAATGATGGAAAATGACGATGCGTTTGTCTAAAATAAAATACATGTTGAAAAACAACACCGTGGGATAAAATGCAACAGCCGTCGAATCGCGACACGCAAGTGAACAAAAGAAAGCACCGCCCCATTCATTCAATGTGTATGTTGGTCAAGTCTTTTTTTTTCTTCCAACACAACACATGTGGTGGTGACGAGCTGACGATGTTGCTCGGTGCGATTAGTGCGTGAGACGGTAATTTCTTCGTGTTTTCTTGTGATCTTCAACACGGATTGCGAATTTCCAGGATGGGCTATGATTTGGAACGCTTTACCAAACCAGTGGACGAGGATTTCAAGTGCAGTATCTGTTTAGCGGTTCTGGAGAATCCGTTGGCCACGCCGTGCGGACACGTCTTCTGTGGCAACTGCGTGCTGCCCTGGGTGGTACAGCACGGGAGCTGCCCGCTCAAGTGCGACAAGTTCTCCACTAAGGAGCTCAACAGCGTCCTACCCCTCCGCAACCTCATCATGAAGTTGGAGATCCGCTGCGACAACCACACCCGAGGCTGCCAGGAGGTGGTCAAGATCCAAATGCTGCCTCAGCACCTGGAAGACTGCGACTTTGCCCCGGTGACTTGCACCAATAAAGGCTGTGAGGCCGTGGTCAGCATCAAGGACTTGGTCCAGCACCAGACGCAGCAGTGCGAGTACCGGGCCGTGGGCCGCTGCGAGCTGGGCTGCAACCTGGTGCTGCAGCACAACGCCGTCGCGGACCACTGCTGCCTGAAAGCCATGCAGGCTCACTGCGCAAACCTGCAAGCCAAAATCTCGAGCCAGGAACACGGTCTCAAGAAAACCACGGTGCGATTCGGCAAAAGGGAGAAATCTCTCTTAGCCCAGATCGCCTGCCTTCAGAACGAGATCCAAATGCAGGCTCTCCGTTATCAGAAAAAGTTGAATGAGTGTAAAGCAGAGGTGGAATACATGTCGGCAATGGCCGTGTATGATAGGGTGAGAACAGATCTCAGCTGATGTTTAAATAATAAATTCATCTATAACAACTTGAAAAAAATTTATTTAGAATTTTTAATAACATTCTGCGTTTTCTGTATATTTAGGATGTCCAGTTAATATTATGTATGTTCGTACTATCTTGTTTTTAACGTACTGTACAGTGATCCGTATCTGGCCAGTGCCACCACTGTTATTGAATGATTTAAAATTATGACCTAAAACAACTTTTCCCGGACAACTAAAGTTTTCCCTAGATAAGTGGGCTTGTCTTCAATGAAATTTCAAATTCAAGGGGGTGGAATTTGGTGGTGAGTTTAGAACAAGTAGCCAGAGTTCTTGTGGCCAGATAGAGAGTTTGTGTATATCATAGGTGGTTAGTCCCTTGCCTTTTCACTCTAGGAAAATGTTAAGTTGAGCTAATGGAAAGGTTGTCTGGCTTTCACCAAACTCACTATCCTATTCTTTGTTATGCTAGAATAGAACGTGACTGAAATGCAATTTTTGTTTAGAGCCTGACAGTAAATTGTGATTGATTGCACCTAGAATAAAGCTCTCAAAGTTACCTTCCCCCAAATTCGAAATCTGAGGTTAACTCCAGTCAGTCTGTCATAATCGCTCGGTCATTGAAAAAGCAAAATGGCTAGCCTTCGCATTCCATCTTCCTGTGCAAAGGTCTACATATTGGGGGACCGGTATCTCTTTGTAACGGCAAAAAAGGCTGTCTGGAGTGGTGGTCCACCACAATCCTGTGTATGAGTAACCCCACAGGACCTATCTTCTCCACAGGGTGCTGCCATTTGACAGCAACCCCCCCCTCTCCACAATTTGGCTAGCCACAGTAAAGTCTTCTGCCAGACACCCACTTGTTTGGTTCCCAAGGACTTCCGCTTGCCTGGACTAAGGGATGGAGACTGGGTTCCTCATCTAGCCTTCACTGGTGCCACTCTCCCTGTGTGCACACACAAACCAATGCCAACCGCATCACAGCTCGGATAATGAATGGCTTTTCAGATTGTCCAGAGGCTCCCCCTATATGTTGGTTGATCTTGTTTATATGCACGACAGATACAATGCCAATGTCCAGACTCGCACAGCAAACATTCAGCTTAAGAATCTCTGGGCCAGAGTGGCCAAAATTTTTGTTGTTATGCTAGGGGCTTTAGAAGTGCCGCCTGTCTTGTTAGCTGGTAAACAGGCTTTGTTTACAATGCAAACCATGCGATAATATTAAGGCAAACTTGTTTTTAAGAGATCATCTTTTTGTTGTGGACACCTTGACTTCACTGAATGGGATTTGAAATATTACTCTGACCCTCAAAAAAGTAAATATTTTGGATTGTATGACAGTCATCGTGGTGCTTCAGGAGTAAAGACTGAAAAAGATTTCATGGATTATGTGAAAAGGACAGATTTTTGGTAGACTGAGGTGAGATTCAAAAGTGCTGTGACCAGCAGTTGGTAGTCAGCCTCAACCTCCCACAATTAATTTCACGCTAAATAATTCGCACAAATATCAAAGGAACCCTGTGGTGCGACAAATTTGTTATCGGTTGACGTCTGGCATGCCTGGTGAGAAGTGAATGTGATGGGGTTGAAATCAAAGTCCCCACTCTTGTGAGGAATTCTTAGCAGGACAAATTTCAGCATCCAGAGAAGGGAGTTTCGAGTTATGATTTGGACGTGATCACTGAAATGTTGTTTTAAGAAGTGATATTCTTGAGCCGCAGTACTTTGGAAAAAAGCTTAGGGAAGAAATCGAATTGAGATTACCAAATGACTTTCCATGTTTTACCTTTAACTCAGTATTAAGAGCTGCTTTAAGAATATGAAAATGGAGCATAATTCATTAAATGTTGAATGGTAATTTCCAGCAACTAGGAACCATTTTTGGTCTCATACTTTAAGTAAACTGTTGTTGCTAGACTTGCTTGTAAATTGCAAATTTTAATTCTCTACCATTTCTTGGAGGACAGGAATTGCAAGTGTGACTTTCACCACTTTTGTTTTGTCTTTCAACAGCCTTGTGAGGAAGTGCCTCTTGCTCTGCAACTTGGTCGCGAAAATGGCAGCCTTGGATTCAATATAATTGGTGGCAATCGGGTAAGTTGTTTGGTCAGTGGTGCCTTATTGTTGAAGTTGTCCAATTTTGCTGAATTTTGTGAAAGAATATCATCTTGATGTATCATCGAAGTAGTCAAGGGTCAGTATTCAAAGTCATTTTTCAGTCGTTAAACTGAAAAAATCTTCTGTGGTAGTAGCAAACCCAGAGTTGTTTTATCGGTCACCATTGGTCAGAATTTGGGCACGTACAAGTTCACGGAAGGGTGGCGAATGATGACCATTCATGTGGGGCGTAGCATATTTACACACTGGCTTGAGCATTCACAAGTAATTTTCATCGAAATGTGCTCAGAATATGTGTTTGTGCACATCGAGTGCAGGGTTGAATGCAACACTGGCCTTTAATTAAGAGTCTAGAAGCTCTCCTCTTTCCTTTGTGACTGGGTGCTCTGTGCCATATTACTTGTACCACTCACAGCTGAGTAATATTACAATACTATTCAAGTGTGTAAATGATTGGGGTTTGTTGCAAATAGTCTAAGAACTGTGGAATAACCCAGGGTTGATTTAAGGTTGTTAGATGTTCTAACAGAGTCACTGCTCCGTTTTTCTAAATGAGTAAGTCTGGAAATAGCAAGGGCGATAAGGTCTGAATTGTTTTGTAAGACTTCAGGTAGAATGAGAGACTAACTGGTACATGTTCCATCATGTAAGATAAGCTGGTGCATGAGATTTTTGGTCTTGTGTGTACACACTTGTTACCGTAAGTCTTGAATACATGTCTTTCCGACGAATACATCTATTTATCCATATCTCAGCAAAGCATACTAAACTGATAGAGTTGGTTTTCTTCTATAGTGTCCCATGCTGACAGTGGTTCAGCCTCGTTGGCAAGTTTGTCTTTGTCCTGATTTATGAAAGATCAACATAAACAAATCATGTGATAAGTGACATCAAAACACCTGTGCTTGCATCAGGGGATGGTGTAACCACATTGTTGAAGGACTTAGCATGGGGTATTACATTAACAGTTCAGAGTCCCTTTTTAAATCATCTGCCGGTTCCTTGGGGTTAGAGCATAGAGACATTAACCCTTGATGCACTCATGGTCACATGTGTTTGTCAAGGGATAACCAAGAAAACATCGGCCAGAGTTGACCTTTTTGGGACTTGTGGAACTGTCATTTTTAGAAAGTTACTTAATTTGTCATTGCAAATATGGAGAGCAGAATGCTCAACATCAAGAAATTGCCGTCATTTGGGGGGGGTTGTCACTGGTTCGTGGTTACCTCATGTCTTGCTTCGCACCCTGTGTCAGCATTTTTTTCTTTCTGCCTTTGGTTTGAAGTAAAATTGAATTTGTAGCCAAACTTGCTTGACTAACTGGAATCCTCATTGTTTTACTTTAAACGACTTCATGAATAATCACTTTGTGGAAGATACATGTATATTGTACATTATATATGTAGATACTGCTTTCAGCACACCAGCCTTACCTAGGACTCAAGACTTGACTTTTTTTGTCTTTTACCTACTTGTGGGCCTGAATTATTTCTTGTTTGGTGCAGACGTGTAAACCCACTGCTCAACGATACTTCAGTCTAAGCAAAAGTTGTAAACAACCTCCCATCAGCTTAGTGTTGCAACAGTGATCTGCCTTTTGGTGGGTGTGGCATTTCAATAATCCTTTTAATGCAGTGGATTTCACGGTGTTGTTTGATGGTGGAAGCATTGTACTCCAGTGCAGTTGTATTTCCTGTTTGTGTTGCCGGAGGTAGGAGGCACTCATGCTCAGTGTTTAGACTGCGGAAGTTTTGGCAAGGAAGCGTGATAGTCAAGACAGCGTCTCTTAATCTCTCCCACTGTGCCCGTAATGGCTAATCCACCCCTCGAATGTCAAGCTTGGACATGATCCCTAGGCTAATGCATCCCTTAGGAGAGCGCCTCAGGCAAGCATTTTGGTGACTGTGCTGCTTTGGACTAGTTTTTCCCTGGGAAGAGTAGAGTTGTCTTTGCCAAAGCAGGAAAACCAGCTGATTCAGTAAGCCGACCCCCTAGCTCAGCACTTATTCCCAAGGTTGTTCCAAGTTCCTAATTTATAATGCCTTTGCTGCTGATATTCACTGTTACATGTAAGTCTGGAGTTGCTGAGGAGGCGGTGGCAATCAAAGCACTAAGCACTTGATATATCTTCCTGACGAACCTCCTTCATTTTCAGTGCTATATAGGCCTGAGCAGTTCATCCCCAGTATCAGACATGTCACTGGTACCAGTACAAAGCAGGCATGCTTATGGATAAGTTACTTTACTGTGCTTTTGCTTTTTTCCCCTCAATTTCAAAACCTTTTGGTCAGAAAAAGTGACATTATAAAAATGTGTTAATGTTACTTCTTGAAATATCAAATTTGAAGGAGTACTTGTATTTAAGTTCAAAAACGTAAGAAGTTATGAAGGAGGAGCATTATTTGTGGCACAGGTCATACCGGTAGCTGTTTTGTTGAGCAGGGGGTTCAATGACTGTTGGCTTGAATCACACACCCCCCAGTCTCCCGTACCTTATTGCAGTCCATCTTACAGAAAGAAATCGTGCCTTCAAGCGGAAGAGTGTAAACAACGTGGAAGCCTCTGCGAAGAACACAACAAGAATCGCCTCAATTAGACCAGGAGAGAAGTGTATACATGTAATTTCCTTGAGTTTGGGATGAGCATAGTTAGCGGACAATGGAACAGGCAGTCTAAGAGAATAAGTTTGGGCAGTTCCTGGTTTGTCTCTAGGGGGACAGGGGGATTGGAGTAGTGACTGTCCAGAGTAGTGACCTCATGGTCCAGTCAGGTGGCACATATTGGGTCTTTGTGGTTCCCTGTTCTCAAGGTAAATAACATGAGGGTGTTTACAGGGGTCAACAATCTTTGGCCAGCTCCTCCAACTTTTTTTTCACTGAAGAGACTTGAAGAACTGTTATGTAGGACGCAAACTTTTGGATTCATGATGCTTTATTTGTGGAAAGGACTGTTAACTTCTAGAAACTGCTGTACAGGGTTGCTCAGTGGTCAGTTTAAATTAAAAATAATATAGAACAGCTGAATAAAATTATCAAACTGCTGAGAGATTAAAACGATGTTTTGTGGAAAAATTGAATGGGCTTAGGATGAAGAAAGAATTCTCTCACTCTAGATATCAGTGACTATACCATGCCAAAATTAGGCCAGTTTTTAAGATCCTTTCTGGTTCAACTCAGTGTTGAACAGTACAGTTTTTGTGGAAACATCATTTTGAAAAACTTTATAGCAAGAGATTCAAACACATTTTATCTGTGTATGTTAACCAACAGTGATGTGCATTTATTATAGTATGTGTTGTTACGTTGGGGCGTTGGTGTACCGACTGTCTCCAGAAGTGACAAAATTTTCCTCCCAAGAAATTCACAAAGAATGTTTGCTATGGAGTTGACACGTGTAGCTCATAAGATAGCTGGCTGTGTGTATCCTGGCCTCTGGAGATTTATGGTGTCTGACAGATGTTCTGAAAATCCAAATAAATCGGATGTTTCTGACAAGCGTTCCATAACCCGATACGGTAGAGAGCTAGCAACCCAAATATGGAGAGGTAACATATATTGCAATGGGGAGGGGGGCGTTGGGTGTTTGCATGGTCGATTGGTAAGTAACGATCTCTGCTTTGTTTGCCAACTGCGCATACCCCCCCCAGCCCGGCGAAATGAAATATTGAGTGCTGCAGCAACACATGATAGTCATCATTTGTGAGATTTTTTTGATGCACTCGGAATGTTCACCCAAGAGACCGTTTATCATGATCGAGATGTTGGGCAAGCTTATAAATCTTGATCCCGGTAAGTTCATGAGTACCAGAAACCAGTGGGACATTCTACAATGTGATTTGATTTCAGTAAGCAGTGATGATGTGACCAGGGCAGTGTCTGATGTTGACTCGGGTAGATTTCTGTAAAATAGATGTGCCAATTTTTACCTCCGGAATATGCGTTTTGTAACGAACACCATAGAATTATAGTGCAAGGTTTACATGTATAATTTAAACAAGACAGTGAAACCAAATTGTTCTTACATGTAAAATGATTTTTAATAAATGCCTTGCAAAATTAATGTCTGAATTTTCAGTATTTCTATTCCTCAAAACACTGACAGCATTACAGACAGACAGACAGCTCGACAGGAACACTTACATTTCAATTAGTAATATGTTACCCATGACACTGACCCAAATGTCTTCAAACAGAATATCATGTACACAAACCTGTCAACATGACAACACTGGTCACATTAAACGATCGAGACAGAAATAGCTCAGCCATTATTGTACATTCCTAGCCTGGGGCTCCTTGATATTATTAGATTGCAGAAAGCCAGACCAGATGGGGCTTATCAGGGGGCTCCTATCAAAATTGGCAGAAATACTGGGCCTGGGAAGGAACCTACATGTAGTTCTTTGGAAGGATATTTTGCTTAGCTTTCCTTAGTCGTGTTGATTTAAAAAAAATAATCCTGCTGATGATGGTTGCCATCAGTTAAATTAATGGGTGATGGGGCAGGGACGGGTGATGAAAAAGGGAGGGATTTTGGAATTGCTTAATAAGCCAGGTCTTTTTTGGGTGGCGGGGTCAAAAAGCCATTGGGAAAAAAACAAGATTTTGAGGAATTAGGAATTTAGTTTATCTGATTTGAGAATGAAGCGAATATAAAATACAGTAGCCTATTTAATGAATACATGTTCTGATTTGTTTGCACAGGTTGCAGACGGGCACCACAGTAGCCTAATGTAATTTATACATTTGTGTCTTTATTGCAGTTTGTTTACTCAGGTTACAGATAAGTACATACTTGGTTGTATCCCAATGTTCGTCTAATTATGTTCTTATAATTTAATATGTAGTGCTTGCAGTATGTTGTGAAGAACACGCTACTCCAAAAATTGGGCTTAGTTCAAAATAAGAGATGTTATCATTACAGGTGTGAAAACATTAGTGGGTGGTTAGAATGTGCTTAAGAATAAAAGAGACATAACAGATCTTTTTTTCACCCTACAGCTATGGTATGAAACCTTAGTTACACCTCGTTATGTAGTAGTTTGATTGATCTGGGACTGACAGGGCGTGATAAGATTGGTCTGTGGAAGTTCAGAGCAGACTTGATTCATAAATGCAGTTTGGGGAAGGGGGGAAAACTGGGACATTCCTTCCCCCCCAAAAAAAAGAGACTTAAGAAGTGTTTGTGCTTTCTGAAAAATAATGAGGGAGACTTCACGGACTATTTACCTCTTCTCCTTCCTAAAGCATTGAAAAAGCCTCCAAATCTAGCCTCTCGACTTAGATTTAGAAGGTCCAAAAAATCACCCCCCCCTCCAGAAAAAACACAATGGAAAGTTAACCTCTGGATCCACCCTTGTGCAAGTTGAGGTAGCTAAATGGATGGAGGCATCTTCAATTTCTCAAGTAACTTCACCGAAGTGTTCAAGATCCATTGGGTCTTCATATGAAGCCTCAGGTTGGATGAAACACATTCTTTGTATACTCCACTGAATTGTGATTCTTTCCTTCGCTTTGAAGGTTGACGGAATTTCAGAGGGTATCATTGTGTCAAGGGTCATCGAGCAGGGACCAGCGGACAAGTCAGAACTGAGGTTGCATGATCGCATCACAAAGGTAAACACGTCTTTTTTTCTGCCTAATGCAGATGCTTTTTCTTGGGAGCTTAAAAACTTCAGCTCAAGACGTTTCCTTTCACACAATTTACACTACTTGAACAGTAGTTTTAACATTGATATCTGTCCATTTATTTCAAAGGCACTGTTACCCGTATGAGTATGTACCTATTCATGGCAAAGAAGAAATGACGTTGTTTTGCGATTCTTGCCCAATAATAACAAATTCTGCCAACATGAAATTCATAAATCGATGCAAACAGCTTGCAAAAAATAAACAGTGAATCCGATTCTTCATGCTGTTTTTCAGTGCAAACATAAGAGTCAGTTTTCCTTAGCCAGGTTCTGATCCATCGTTCTGCATTTCTACTGATTAAAAACTTCCATTCATAGAATAAATGATCCAATATCACGCTCGGGCACTGGCTGTTTGTTGATGGGTGGGTGCCCTGTGCGTTCGCCTTGCCCAGGTCTAATGCAAGATCAAATGCACTGGCCGGCTTCAAGATAAGGACTGGCATGCACCAGTGGTAAGTGCCGGGTGGTGATATACGAGACTTGCCAATGATCCCCGGCGCTAATTGAAGATCTGCATGACAGAAGCACGCTTCCCACACACACAAATCCACCATGGTGAATAGAAATTAGAAAATCTCAAATTGTTTGCAAACAGTCATAATAGATGGAGGGGGCAGTGTGGTTGAATTGGGGAGTCGTGGTTTGGATCTGACTCGCCTTTGAAGATTGCCGCTGTGCTTGCACCAGAAATCAAATTAGGAGGCTCTTTATACTGAGTCTGTGGGGAATTTGAGTTTTAACATACCTAGTAGAAGAACCTCTGCATAAAAGAAGCATTTAGAGTTAGCTTTTGGTTTATTGTGAGCTTAAACTTCCTGATTTCATCGCTTTGTGGGATAGGATTGCATTGCTCTCTTTAATAATTTGGAAAAGTCCTCCACTCGAGGGAGACACGAGGGCTTACCTAGGAACCGGTGTGTAGCAGTAACATATGTACAGCACTACTATGCTAATGTGTGGCGACAAAAATGGTTGCAGCGAAAATCCTCGGTGTCGCATTCACGTCACACCCTCAGTGCAGCACCTTCTCAAAAAGGAGGGAAGACCTACCCCAAGGGTCACCCCCGTTGTCTTTTGTTCGGCCGTTGAAATTCAATACTCTGGTGCTGCTAATCTGCGGCTCGAGAAAAAAATTGCAAACAGAGCCGTTTTTTTTTTAAGTGTGTTCGCCATACAACCTTTGTGGATTCTGCTGTATTCAATTCTGTGTTTTCATGCTCTCTGCTCTATTGCAATCTGTGTTTTTCATTGCACTTTTGAGATTTCCCTTCAAATGAGGTGGTTGAGGGAAGGATATTTATTTCGACATTAGTCACCCGGATGTGAGAGATTGCAAGCCTGTTCAGCGAAGTCTTAATTTTGTTTTTGAATTGTGAAATTACTTTGCTTCAGATTTGACAAGTCTGTTGGTCTATTTTGTGAATTTCTCCCTTAGATATTTTTGTAGTACTTAATGCTTGTGTTAAGTTTAATACACTGGAGGTCTTCAAAGTTTTACGTGAACATTTTTAGGGGTCTGAAATGAAGAACAATAACTATTTCCTACAAAATTTTGTTTTGTATTGAAAAAAAATTGTACATGGCATGCATGTTGTTTTCATTCTATCCCTCAGTGCCAATAGTTACAATGTACATGTATTGACTGCAAAATAACTGTATGTGTTTAACGATAAATTGAGGTACATGTACATATTGGGGATTGATGTTAGGAAGAGAAAGTGATTTTAACATGAAGTTAGACCAGTTTTGTCATCGTGCTTAAACACCTCTCTTTCATTCTCTGCATGAAGAAATTCTTTCGCTCCTGAAGACGTCGACAACGGTGCCATTGCCCTTTGCTAAGTGGCAGAACAGTATAATTGGATTGCTTACGCTGGAAAGCACAAAGAAGAGGAAGGGAAGATTCCTTCTTCGAGGGGGGGGGCACGAGCTTACAAGCTTTAGACTGTCAGAGTATGTGCAATTGTGGCATCCACATAGAGTTGTACAGCATGAAGGGGCATTAAGAACGTGGGCAATTCTAGTTAAGACTATGTGTTCAGGGAAACTGTTGGAGTTAACACCGGTGCAGTCCCCCCCATTGTCCAACAGGGAGTTGTTGTGCTGGCGGATTGTGTTGAGGGTAAAAAACAACCTTTAGTCCAGTTTGTTGGCTCTGTAATTCCATCCGCAGTGAGCAAGGTGAAACTGGCACTTAGGGAGAGGTTGTGTAGGTGATGTTCCCCCCATGGCAGAAATCTCCCCTGTACAAACAAGACCGCGGCTGTGCTTTGAATTGTCCAAGTTCTCCCCCCCTCTTCCTCTACCAACCTGCAAGGATCAACAACGCACCCCGACATCTATTTTCTGCTATTTTTGAGTCTGATCTTGGCGGGCTGAGCGAGAAGTTTGGCGTTTAAGCTTTATGCGGCACCATCAGAGGATTTGGAAAGCTATCGCCCTTGTGGGTCCTCTCTGTCACCTCCGTGTCAAGTGCTTGTTCTCCTTTCTTTTGAGGGCAGCTTGCTGCGGCCTTTGCCGACAGCAACTGGCAATTGTTTATACAGGACCCCTTGGCAAATTGACCCCCATTGCCATTGGGGCCCTTTTTGGATCCTCCTCACCCCTTTCAGGGCAGGCACTTGTTTTGCAGTTTGTCCTGGCTGGCTGTTGATTAATGTGCTCATCATGGGCACTGGTGAAAATGGACAGGGGGCCATTTATCCTGCCCTCTTTCATCTTGTTGAAGATCTGAAAGCTGCAGATGGAAGACCTTTTAGACTTGTGCATACACTCCCCATCTGGGTAGTTATGAGAGCCAACTTAGGTGCAAATTGCATCATCTTTCCTACACTTTGAACTGTTCGTCATTAGGCTACCTCTTGGATTCCAAACTGTATGGAAATTGTCCACCACTCTTTGCGGAAGCAGAAATAATGGAATGGTGGAGAGAAATCTCAAGAAATGTTTTGGTGTTTTTGTTTATAAAGTAGGCGTACTGTTACTGTCTATAAGATACATGTACATGTAACTTTTGTACTGGTACCACAGGCCAATTTCACAACTACAAGTAAAACGGTCTTCAAAAAGTTGTACAAACTGTAACAGAGTTCTTCTAGCATTAAGTGTAATTTATCTTTGCCTCACCGAGGGAAATTCTGCCTTTGGATGATGTGTATTGTACTTGTTCTTTGCTGCACTGAAGTTTACGTCTTGAGTCTTCATGAAAGGGGAGAGAAATCGTGTTAACAGAAAATAGTGTGCTGAGCACTGTGATCTTGCCACTATAATCTTGCTTGGTCTGTTGGATTCCGGTATTTCAAAAGACATTTGAAGGTGGCTTTGTCCAAAGTGTTCGTGGTGTCTTGTTCTCAAAAGCTTGTCCTATCACATACTTAGTCCAGCCAGTGTTGGTCATTGGTCATCAACAGGCATACCGGAGCCTGCTGTATTCACACCAGCATCAACTCCTTTTGTGTTTTTGGGTGCCATGTTGGCCGTGGGTTGAACCATAGTGTTGAACCATGGTTGAACCATGAGTCCAGGGGTTGAAATCACAAGGCAGACCAGCTGAGCAATGTTAATTAACTCACAATGGCATTTCCTGTTCATTCAAAGGTGGGGGAGGGGCTGTGGCACCCTAGGAGTACATGTCATGCTCCAGTTGGCATTGAGTTTATGCTGTAAATCCTCAAGTGTGATTCGCCATATCCCATTGTAGCATATGTTGTTAACTTTCCGTTCCACAACAATCAGTGAATTTCTCTGAGTTCACTTCAGGGATGAAAGACTTGAAATGCGAAATTTTCAGTGTTCTGACCGCAAGACTTCTGCTTTCATGAATGGCGTGTACAGTTTACTGTATTTCCTATGCGGGCAAGAGTTTTGAATGGAAATGCTACATCTTTGCTTGACATACATGTATTTGTTATGAGCAAGACCCCATTCTTCAGCACTTCTGTTTTTTCGTTTATTTCTGTCTGAGGTGCAGATTGTAAGCAGTGATTAAAGAGCACCTCTAAGGAAAACATGTCCTCACTGATTTTATCAGTTCAAATAAAGATGGAAGCATCCAATCAAACTCAGTGTCACTTGTCTGCGGAGCTCAATTATAACAATGCAGGTAGCTATTGTTTGGCCTGCACTAAGAACGCAGGGTAAGGGTTACCCTCGTTTTCTGTTTTCTCCGAATGAGGCAATCTACTCTCAGACTTCGCATCTTAGTGTGAGCAGAAAAAACCCTTTTTAGCCTGTTATATTTGAGCTCTGAAGACAAATGATGCTGCATTCGATTTGGATGCTTCCATATTTATTTAAACAGATGAAATCCGAGAAAACATGTTTTACTCAGAGGTGCTCTTTAACATCAAGCTCAATCTCTGTACTTCCCTTGCAAGATCTCTCAAGAGAAGTTGGGTTTCTGGTGCAATGTTGACTGCAGAGAAGTGCACTGGTGCCCCTTGTGGTGAAGAGGCTTATTTTCATCTTTGTTGTTGTTGCATTGTTGTTTTCTTAATATTAATGCACTTTTGAGAGAATAGTCATATAACTACAGTGTACATGTACATGGACCTCTTTCACCAGGTCTCAGAATGGCATGTAGAAATTTTTCTGATTAAATTTCAGGTATGTGTGATCATTGTTCATTGTGATTAAACAAGTGATCTGTTGATGGAACAAAGAGTCAGGGAACTTATTGACTTTTCCTTCACTTAATGGTTTGCGTAGTCTCTGCCTACATGGGAAGAAGTGCGGTAGCCTGCTAGAGAAAGAACTGTTTTTCCTATCCTAGAATGTAATCACACTCCTTGACACCTGTGAAAATACGTTCCTACCCCAAGTCCCAACATCTTTCCGCCATCTCTTGTTTGAACACAACACTTTCCTCAAAAGTATGTATACCATACCCTGGCTCTTGGCGGTCCCTTTGTGGAAGTATTTGTT